AGGCTGGAGTTCAGTGGCAGAATCCCAATTCACTGCAGCCTTGAGTCCAGCCTTTCTGGACTCAAGTGATCCTCCTGTCTCAGCCTCTTGAGAGGACTACAGGACTACAGGCGCACACCACCACACCTGGCTAATCTATCTTCCCTTCCCTCCCTCCATCCCTCCCTCCCTCCCTGATTCATTCTTTCTTTCTCTTTCAGAGAAGTTCTCACTGTGTTGCCCAGACTGGCCTTGAACTCCTGGGTTCAAGCAATCCTCCCTGCCTCGGCCTTCCAAAGTTCTGGGATTGTAGGTATAAGCCACCACATCCAGTCATTCCTTGCCCCCTTTTTTTAAATTTGGGAAATTCAGGGAAGTGAAAAAATTGTGCCACTGCTATTTCCATCTTTCTGCAATTTTCCAACTTTTTGTGTTAAAAAATGTAAAATGTTATTAAAATGCCTGAGGGACTATTTTGCTTGATTTGAGAATTTTGTTATATTGCATTGCTCTGATGTTAAGAATGTATTGTATTGAAAAGCAGAGGTTAGTATGAGAGACAAAGACTTTTGGAGGCTTTCTCTGATAATTTAAAAGCAAGAAGTAGATCTGGAAGACATTATGTATCATGGCCTGGGCATGAGAGTCAAGGTATGTGGAGTCTCAAAAGAGCATGCAAATTTCCATCCAAGAGAGGATGTGACCTGACAAGTTGCACTAGTCCCTGGAGAGGGCTGAGTGTTTTCACTTTTTTTCATGTTGTGGGTACAGCATGAAGATTTCTGGCTTAGATTCCCCAAAGGCTCAAACCATGCTACCAAAAGTAAGTATGTTAGAACGATGGTCCTGCAAATTAATACAAATTGTAGATTTTCTCAGTATGGGATCTAGCATAATGAAAAATATTCTCATTTTAATACGAGAGTTTCTTCCTGATAAATTCAAAGAGTTTCACACATAATAGTTACTAGGTACACTAAAAAGAAAACATTCCTGTGAAGTACCATTGGCAGATGCTGCAATCCTTATTACAGAATGAAGAAAACACATTTCTCATTCATTCACACATTTATTCACTCAACTATAGTCATACTGATTATGCTATATCAGGTCATAAAATTTAAGTGTGTAAAAAATTTCTTTTTTAAGTTCGGGTGTGGTGGCTTGTGCCTATAATCCCAGCACTTTGGGAAGCTGAAATGAGAGCATTGCCTGAGTCCTGGGGTTCGAGATCAGCCTGGGCAACTTGGGGAGACCTCATCTTTACAAAAATCAAAAAATTAGCAGGGTGTGGTGGCGCGTGCCTGTAGTTCCAGCTACAAGGAAGACTGAGGTGGAAGAATCACCTGAGCCCAGCAGGTCAATGCTGGGGTGCCTGTGAGCATGCCAATGCACTCCAGCCTGGGTGACAGAGTGAGACTCTGACTCAAAAAAAAAAAGTCTTTTAAAAAAAGAATTAGAAGCCGGGCTCGGTGGCTCAGCCTGTAATTCTGCGACTTTGGGAGGCTGAGGTGAGTGGATTGCCTGAGCCCGAGGGTTCGAGACCCACCTGGGCAGGCGAGACCTCATCTCTACAATAAAATCAAAAAATTAGCTGGGCGTGGTAGCGCGCGCCTGTAATTCTGGCTACTCGGAAGGCTGAGGCGGAAGGATCACCGGAGCCCAGCAGGTCGAGGCTGCGGTGGCTGGGAGTGGCCACTGCACTCCAGTCTGGGCGACAGAGTGAGACTCCAACTCAAAAAAAAAAAATATAAAT